TTAAGTGGGAGAACTTGCACAATTGGTGGCTGACTAAATACTTTTTTGCCCCACTGTATATTGCTTTTATGTGAAAGGAGACTAAGGTTTTTTTCCCCCCAAATAGTTTAATTTTAAAATGGGAGAGTCGTCTTAGATTTATTCACAGCACAGAAATGCAAGGAGCAAAATTTTTTCTAATCTTTCTTCTAGTGTGTGTAGGGTCATCTTCCCTTCAGGGAAATACAGTAGCATGTTAGCTATATTTATGAAGAAGTGGGTAAACTTATATACAATTCTTCTTACAATCAATAGCTTAGAAATTCCCACAGCTGGAGCTGCAGGCTATAGTATCTTAAAATTCAGTTGGGAGGAGGAAAGAGTTTTTTTTTTTTTTAAATAAACATTACAATTTAAAGAACTAAAAGAACTGTTGCTGGAGGTTAGAATTTTTGTGTGCCATTCTTCTGGAGAAATGCTTGTGTGATCAAATCATTCCTGTCGTTCCCCAGCACTGATTTCCCCTGACATAACCTCTCTCTTCCTGGATCTTAATATTTCTTATCTTCTCTGAGAACTGTACTAAAGATAGTGGTTGACCTGAAAATAAAGCATCTGGGAAAGTACATGCTGCCTCTAGTGTCTGCATTGTGGTTCCTGGTTCTGTGAAGAGTTCAGTGTGTTATTTGTAAGACTGGGACCTTCATTGTACTGCAGGTAGCTACAGGGTGGAAGAAGGAGCCATATGTTCTGCCACCTTGGACTTAATACTGGCCCCAAAATGGACAATGTCAAGATATCAACGACTGTGAAAACAGAATTATATGTACTTGGATTTTAGGAGGTCTCAGATCTGGGGCATTACCCATTCTCACATTCATGACTGATTTCTCTTTCTAGGAGCTGAGTATTGAGGAACAGTCTGAATATGCTCAGAGCCTCTATCAGAATGTGGCAGATAAACTACAAACTCGCTGGAAAGGTATTGTTCTTATGCATTTTGCCATTTTATTTGTAAAACTCAGAGGGGAGGAAGGTAATACCCATTATGGGTGCAATTTCAGATGTACCTTTTCATGTCTCTGCTTGGGGTGGACAAGGCGGGGGCGGGGGAACCTTTGCTTCTAGAAGAGATCAATGGAGAACAGATTTTGGTCCTTACCTTACATTAAAGAAATCCTCCCCCAACCCCCAAAGGAATACGGGACCCTTGAGTGCAGACTAGACCAGATGGAATCAAAGGTCCTGAACCCACCCTTTCCAGCAGTCCCCAAATTCAGAATTTAAAGTGCATTCTTATTAAAAGGGGATTGAACAAATATGTGGAAATCATACAAATGAACTTTCAGATGTATCTAGATATTGGTAGCAAACAATGCAGGAGGTCTATTTTTTTCTGGGGAAAGAAAAACTTATTTTTGAGAAACAAGCTTCTAGACTAGAACCCTACTTTCACTGGAGATGTTGCTAGGGAGTCTTATAGCCAAAATGAAGAATGTTCTGTTAGGTTGTTGTTCTTAGCATTTATCCTGCTTAGTTGCTGGCTTGTTTTACACTGCGCTCACCTAGTTCTTATAGCAAAGCTTATCAATGAACGATGCAATGAGGGTTTTGATTTTGAGAGGGATGACTGGCCCAAGGTCACCTAGCTGGCTTCCATGCCTAAGGGAGGGCTGGAACCTGGGTCTCCCTGCTTCTAGTCCAGCACCTTAACCACTACACCACACTGGCTCTCAAATGATATGTTGCTGTAGGTAATGTTTTAGTACAAGGAGTGTGGAGATGGCACTGTATCGAACTTGCAAACAATTGCTCTGATGATGTGAGAAAGAAGCCAGATGTGTTAGAATTCTCTTAATGAGCACCTAGTCTGCCATATTGGAGTGCTCTGTAATTTGATAGATATAGTCTTCCACATACTAACCTTTTATGCTCCCTTACACCTTTCTAATGTTCCTACTCCTTTTAGATTCTTTTAGAGTCTTGTTTTATTTACACACACACACACACACACACACTTTCTGTTTTAATACATATATCTTTTATATCTTTTAATATTTTTTTTAAGACACTGATGTATCTTCTATGCTTTTTAATTGACTGTACCCCACCATCCTTGTGCTGGCCTATGACCGTAATAAAGATTTGTTTGTTTGCCTCTGTCTTTTCCAGTGCCTCCTGAAAAAGTGGAAAAAGTGATGGATCAGGTGGAGAAATACATAATGACCCGCTTGTATAAATACGTTTTCTGCCCAGAAACCACAGAGGATGAGAAGAAAGATCTTGCT